CCTCTCCCTACCCACGGAACCTCCACGGTACCTCCACAGGACCTCCACAGGAGGTCTGATCGCTTAACCGCGCGTTACTTTGCCCCGGGGCAAACAGCCACGCTATTGTCATTTACCTGATATTGTCATTTGCCTGCTATTGTCATTCAGCATCTGAAATCATTCCACACTCCAAGATATAAGGACAGATGGACTCACATTCTAGCTGTATCTGAAGAAGCGAGGAATGACCATGAAAGCTCATACCCTGCCACAGATTTTGTTAGCCTGTAAGGTACTACTGAACTCTTGCTCTTTTCTACTGCTGTAAATAGACTAACACGGCTGCCCATCTTGATCTGTCTACTACATCGGTTTTGGAGAGATAATATATAACTTGCTTTTGGGGTTCTGTCCATTAGCAGTAAAAATTAATAATAATTATCATATGGCAGTGTGTGTAGTATAGCCAGGAGATCCTAAGATTGTCTGGCAGCCAGAAGTTCTAGCTCCTTGTTAGCATTATGCACCACTAGGTGGTGAGCTCGACTTGTTTTTAAGGCAAGAGACATTTCAGAGGTGGTTTGCCATTGCCTGCCTCTGTGTCACGACTCTGGTATTCCTTGGAGGCCGCCCATCCAAATACTAGTCAGGGCCAACCTTGCTTAGCTTCTGAGACTGGGCTAGCCGGGGCTATCCAGCTCAGGGGTGTCCATTAGCAGTCTCCTGTTGTAAATGTTGCTTCTTTATGCCTTTAAAAATGGGTATGCATCACCCTTAGAAATAGGTCTGGCTTCTAAAAGTATCACAGAAAATAATATTTATTTAATTTGTAACATTCATAACATTTTAATTCTTTCATTTTTACAAAATCCCTGCAAAGAAGGTAGATCCTTTCACCATTCTTACATTCAGTGTTATATAGAGAGGAAATAGAAATTAAAAGGAAATACCCATGTTAAATCTGGACTTGATCACGGTTTAAAGTTGAGCACACTATGCACTGTTCCACATTTGCTCCAGTGTATATGGGATGTTCATCAGCAAAGAAAAAATCAGCTTGCAGCACTACTGATACAGGGCTACTCCATTGGCCACTTGATTCTCTCTAGGCAAAATAAAGGCTTTGTTCATGGTTCTACCTGCAGTGTATTTACCCTGGCTTGCTTAGGATTTGACCAGACTGGGGTTTTCCCCAGAGTATTTAAAAAGCATATGCTGAGCCGATAGGTAGAAATCTATACTGAGGTGACTGGTAGAAATTTGTTTTCTGTTGGATCACTATTAACTGCAATATATTTCATTATGGAAATTTATTTGTAAAGTATAAAATTATGTCTGCAAGAGTTCATAGTAGTTAGAACCAGATATTTGTTACAGAAGCCTCTGTGCAGCTGAATAGCCTGTGATGCATTGCTACCACAGTGTTTTTATTGCAGTGATCTTAGAGAATGATGACACTTGTCTCTAACTGGCAGTAAGGTAGTTAAGAGAATGAAACCTGAAACCAGTTACAGGTCTGAGCCACAAAAGCTGCCCTATACTGTTTCTCAGTCAGTGTAGAATCTTTTCACCTAAATGAATGTGTTCACTGAAATGAACTCCTCTAGTATTTCATAGTCCTTTCAACCTCATATTAAATAGCTGAAGAGAGAGTATTGTGAAGCTTTGTAAACTGTCCCCATTCTCAAACACAGAAACTGCTCCATATAAGTGGGTTGAAACACCACTTTGTCCTATGTTTTAAGTGCTATCTCTTCCATCACCTTCATTATACCTGGAGTATCAGACTTTAACACAGCACCATGTAAAATTTATACTAGCAAGGCATTATGTAACACACAAAACTAAGCAACCCCAGATTGTATGTAATGGTGACACCTGGTGGTAAATTAACTTAATTGCAATCACACACACCAAAATTCTTGCCTTGTATGTTCCTTTACCCTGACACTCTGCCCCACCCCCCAGCAGTTCCATTACTAGTCAGTCAAGAGTTGGTACCAACATGCATTGTTCCGTATTTAGAAAATGCCTCACACTGTAAACACCCAATGTGCTCACAAGAAAGAGAGCCCTCCAGTCCAGTTTCAACCCCTACCATTCCACCCACTCCTTGTTGCTCATCATGGAAGCATCTAATCTTTCTCAGTATTCCTAAAAATGTTATGATTCTTCCTTATTTCTTTTGCACCAAATCCCTTCAGAAGAAGGCATCTCCACAGTCCAGCTCTGTCAACCCTTCAGAACGGGTATTTGTTCTCTCATTCTCCCATTTTTCATGTTAATTTTATAATAATTGTATACATTTCATTTTGCCTCTGTGTTCAAGATCATTCAGTATAATACTTGAAGGGGCAAATATTTAAAATATGTAAGAAATTCCAGAACAGTACCTCTAAACAGCTGGTGCTGTTCAACAGTACCCATCAGCATCCACATGTGGGGTCTGATTTAATGGTGATGCTGATGGGGAAGATGAACTTATCTGTGCAATATTGTGTGTGCCCACCATCTTTAAACTGTATTCTCAGCTGCTAGACATGCAATTTAAAAAACCCCAGAGATCAACTAGCTTGGGCTCATGTTGCACTGATATACTAACGTTGCACACATAGCAGTGTTGCGTGGGTAGTCACCCAGTTTAAATAACTGAAATGCCACACAAGTTCTTCTTCCTTGTTAGAATCACAGTTATATTAGGTCTACATTAGGGGTGTGCATTCAGATCTACCTGAGCCAAAAATATACCTGATAAATACCTTATTGGTATTTTTGGGGTATATTTTGGCATCCCAAATGTATCTGGGTTTTCTCAGGAAAACTGGGGGAAATCCCAAGAAAATCCTGGATATATTCAGGAATTCTGAAAACAGCAGAGAGGCAGGAGCAGATTGCCCCCGTTTAAAGGGACTGCAGAAGACAGCCCGAGAATCAGCTGTGACGGGGGGGGGGGGGGGGGCGGGCCTTCCTGCCAGCTTAGCTTCGGGCTGGCTTCTCGTTCAGCCTGTTTTAAACTGGGCTGCAGGAGAATCCAGCCCCAGAAGCTGCTGTGCCACAGGGAGCAATCTGCTAGCTGCCGCACAGCAGATCCCGGGGCCAGCTTCTCCTGCACTGTGGTTTAAACTGCGCTGCAGGAGAAGCCATCTCAGCCAGGTCTGCGCACCACGGGGAGAGACCTCCCCACGGCACACGGATCCTGGGGCCAGCTTCTCCTGCATTGCAGTTTAAACCATACTGCAGGAGAAGCCAAGCCAGCCCCAGAGTTGGGCTGGCTTAAATATATAGATCCAGGATTTTTTGGAAATTCCAGAATTTTTTCAGGTCCAATAGACCCAAACCAAAAAATACTGATTTTTAAAAATTGCACACCCCTAGTGTACATGACTGCTCACAGGGAGTAGTTATTTTGAAGGGTCCAGACGTTGGGTCAACTCTCAGAGTTGGTGCTGCATGTTTGAATTCTAGGTTGGCGATGGAAGAATAAGCTTGGTTTTGCACAGTGGGTGGTATGGTAGGTCCAGCATATGTTTATTTCAATATAGATGATGTTAGGGGCTTGAATTCAGCTTGGTAAAACAAGATATAGCTAAAGATTATGTATTTAATGTACTGATAGATTAGCACACTGCCAAACTGAAGTCAATCAAAGATTCAAATTGAGATTATGGTGATCAAGCAACAATTATGGGTGACATTTAAATCATTCTTTACTATGCTTAAAAGAGAGTTATGTTATGAAAATAATCATTTTGTTCTTATCACATTGCGAAATACAGGAGCAGTAAAATAATGTCAACATCTCCCTATTAACCTCTGTACAGGGAGACATATTTCAATATCAGTTTCAGTTTAGTTTATTGTAATTAGCCATTGGTCATTACAAAATTACAAAGTACAAATTGTGAACAAACTATAGGTTAATATCAGAATATATAAAAGTGCCAGAAATCGATGACAGGAAGGCATATTTCAATACAGACCAACATTTGGGTAATTTTAGTCTGTGGGAAATGCACATAAAGACTTTTCTTAACTCTAGTCTTATTTCTGTGAAGACGTTACTGTCCAGAGAGTTGGGGACATTTACCTTTTATATTCTAGGGTTGCCAGCCTCCAGGTGGGGTCTGGAAATCTCTGAGAATTACAGTTCATCTCCAGACTACAGTTCCCCTGGAGCCAATGGCTGCTTTGGGGAAATTGACTGTATGGCATTATACCCCGTTGAGGGCTTTCCCTCCCTAGGATGCACCCCCCCCCCAATCTCCTGGAGTTTTCCAACCCAGAGCTGGCAAACGTATTATATTCATATTTTCTCCTTTTTGCAAGAGAGGAAATAAATGCTAGAAAAACTGCACTTGAAACTGCCCATTAATCCACTACCACCCACCAAATGCACATTACCTTCCAATGTACCGGAAGCCAGAAAAAGGGGGAAAGGGAAGGACATAAAAACAGCACTCCAGACAAGGGAGTTTTATTTTCATGATACCTGGAGGTAACGAAAGATATCAGGCATTCATTCAGTGACACCTTTGTACCTCATGGCCATTACTAAACATTCTTATTGCTACTCAGTTAGTTTCTGTTAGACAAATGTGAAGGTCAAAACAGTCCTACCATGGCAAGAGAAGAAGGATTTCCAAAAGTTTGTGAACTAATGCTTTTCATGAAGCTGATGGCTCCCTCCTGCCCCCCCCCAAAAAAGTACCTGAAGCTACACATGTCACATTAAATGGATATTGATGTCAGTTTTATACATATAAAAGATATTATAACTGATAGTAATTTTGTAATGTTTAAATCCTGTTTGAGGCTTCTGAATGTAACTTTTGATCCACTTTTATAACTCTTGATTATGTATATTATGGGCTGGATTCAGAGGAACTGATTAAAGGCACACAACCTATAATATAGTGGGGAAATTTTTTTTAAAGAAGGAAGGAGCTAAAGTACTTCTCATAAACAGCAGGCATTTGAATGTTCTTTGTAACTTAATTTGGGTGCTTTTCTCCCCTCAGGTTGGTGACCAGATTGTTGAAATCAATGGGGAACCAACCCAAGGAATCACCCATACACGAGCCATTGAATTGATTCAGTCTGGAGGAAATAAAGTTCTCCTCCTTTTGCGACCAGGAACTGGCTTAATACCAGATCATGGTAAGATGCTGAACTGCTGACTTGTCTACAGAGCTGGTGGATGAAAGAGGGAATTAATATTTACTTGTATTTCATACTGAGGATGCTGCTGTTCTTCACTGTTGAGAGACCAATGCAGAAACAGTTAACTCTGCCTTCTCCTAGGGAGGTAGATCCAGGAACACGACTGTCTGCCTGGTTTCAGCTCTGCATTTAGACATTCCTATTCTCCTTCTTTCTATTCTGACAGCCCCTAAAATGTCTTCCTGCTCTCTACATCCCTTTTATCTTTCTTTCCTGCAGTAGTTAAGGGGGATGGAGTACATCTCCGAGGCTCAGTATAGCAAAGGCACTTTTTGAGCTCATCTAGTCTTTTTCATACCAGCCACCTTCAGCTGACACCATCAAGAGAACCTGTGATGCAGTGGATGTATACCCCTGATTCCCTAGGTGCTCTGTAATCACATTACCTGCAAGTCCTTCCACACAAGGAAACAATCACTCCGGCTCATGTTGAGGAGCCTTATTAGTTCCATTCCTATGCATTGTTTTCATACCTTTCAAGAAATTCATGCCAAATGTTCTCTTTCTAGTGATGACCCCAACTTTGATTTTTATTGCTCCAAAGTAGTTCCTGTTTTCTCAACCGAATCCTGCATCCCTTCCCAAAGTCAGTGCTCCCAAATGTTTATTCGTGAATGAACCAGCCTAAGAAAATGAATGGAGCAACTAAATGCATGTCCTCTGGAAACCCATCACAATGCAAGAATGTGTTCTAATCCACTGTTAGCAGTATAGATTTTTCAGGATCTATCCATGCATACTGTATCAGACCAGGGCAGAAAGCACCCACTCTAAAGACACATGTATAGCAGCTTCAGAGGGATGAGTCTTCATTTTTATAAGACATTGTGAGACTGATAACCTGTCCTTGGCAGAAGCTTGCGTAGGTGGAGAGTACTCCCACGGATCTTGTAAAGGGGGGACAGCAAGGTTCATTCAGATGACTTGCCTGCCTAATTGTTCTTTTAAATTCTTCTGACTGGTTTCTAATACTGAAAGAGAAATGGAAGTTTGATCTGCCTTAAAGTTCTCTTCTCCATCTTGAGGAAGGCAGTCATTCACATCTGTTGAGTTTGCTAACCTGTGGAGGTCCACAGCTCATCACATACCTGTCTGGACCTGTACATAGTTTGGCCATTTTCCTCCTTGTTTCCCCCCCCCCACCCTCTCCACATCTCTTCCTTCGCTTGTGGAAAGTATAGGTTAGGAGCCCACATTCTGGTTAGCTTAGATTCATTTTTATCTAGAAGGAAATTAAGTCCTGAAACCCTTCTTGGAAGGGGGTTCAAGCATGTTGGCCCTGTACTCTGAAAGCAAAGAGCAGCTAACTATCTCCTGACTGCCTTCCTAACAGAGAAGCAAACTTCATGGTAAATCCTACTTCCCATTCTGCTCTAGAGAGGTGGTTATAAAAACCTTCAAATCTTGCCAGAGTCTTCGCATTCATTGACTTCAGGAGCTGGAGGGCAGCCCACTGTCTTGTCAGTGAAGTAAATAATATGTGCAAATAACTAAAAAGCCAGTAGGAAATGTTTTCCCATATGCTTTTAAACTTCTTTTTTTTGCTAGTGCAAAATTCCCTAAAAATTTTAATATATTGCTTTTCCACACAGAGTTTCCTATTCCCTTGGTAAATTTCTGAAGCAATCTCGTAGCATATACACATAGACATTAAGTTTTGCATGTAATTTTTTCCAGGGCATTTTAAAAAGCACACTGGACTATGACTGTAAAGTGTGAGCTTCCATGATATGCTCCTTGGAATAATTAGCATCAGCTCCCTTTCCCCACTCTGGCGGAGCTAGTACAGCTACCAAGGTCTTTTGCCTAGTGTAGCAAAATTGCTCTGTGACCTACAATTTTAATAATTGTGTAAGATCATCCAGTTTTTTTACTGAAAGCATAAAGAACCAAGCTAAAGTCAATTGCCAACCTAAGGGGAAAGATAGCAGCAATCAGAGAAACTCCCCTCCCCATGCTACTCAGACCACTGCTAAGGTATTACAGAGAAACAGGTTTTTCTGTACTTACACTGTACCAGCTCTTGCCCTCTGCTTGTGAATTGTACATTTCTAATGAAATCTTTTGCTAACTGTGTGCTGTGATTTGGTATATAGTCCTGGGCTTTTTCTCTTCCTCCCTCAGGTTTGGCTCCTTCCAGTTTGTGCTCCTACGTGAAACCTGAGCAGCATTAAAGCTTTCAGTGCTTTTCTTGGTCTTTCCTTAAAGACTTGGTAAATCTGCATGTCTTGTGATTGACGTCTTTTTATTCGCTTGAAATAATAAGTTTTTCACTCTCCTGATTTTCAGTTTTCTTTTTGGCATGAATTGCAATAGGGTAGCCTATGACTGATGCAAAAGAATCTGCTTTAGAAGCCACTCACCAATTCAGCTAAGGACTATAGATTCCCACAAGCCTTTCCTTGGTGCCATCAATGGGCATATCACTGCACATCTTCTAAGGAAATTGGTTATTAAACTGGTTTCCTTGCAAACATCAGGAAACCTTACAATGGCAACTATCTTCTTTCTAGCTTCTTCTGCAAAACATACACCAATTTTCCAAGAGGGTGACTCTCTCTTCTGAAAGTCTTTGAGAGTATGCATACCATACCCATCTTCCCATCCATCAAATAACATACAAGAAGGGGATTGCAGCTGAGACCACCACATTTGACAACTCTTCATTACTTAGCTGAGCAGCTCACTTCTCTTTGGAACTGGATTGGCTCTGTATTAACAGGGGTTAATAGACTTTGAAGCTGGATTGATCACAAGTTAGGCAGCAAAAGCCCAGTAATTATAGTAAGAAAAACAGGTAGCCTAATTATAACTCTTGTCCAGGTGCATCTGTGCATTCATACGAATAGGCTTTGCACCTGTGCAGAGCCTCAATTTTGAAACTTCTAGAGCTAGTATTTAAGCATGAAAGACCTCTCCCTTCAGATGCAGTTTCAACTGCACATGCCCAAGAGTGAGGAGTCATGTCTTAAGAACATAAGAGACGCCAAAGGCCCATCCAGTCCAACACTCTGTCACACAGTGGTCAAAAATACCAGGTGCCATCAGGAGGTCCACCAGTGGGGCCAGGACATTAGAAGCCCTCCCACTGTTGACCCCCCACCCCCCAAGCACCAAGAAGACAGAGCATCACTTGCCCCAGAGTCCCTATCTATACCTTGTGGCTGATAGCCACTGATGGACCTCTGCTCCATATGCTTATCTAATTCCCTTTTGAAGCCGTCCATGCTTTGTAGCTCCTTCCAAAAAGATAAGAGTGCAGCGTAGCAAGTTAAGGGCACCTGTGACAGGGAAGGTAGGTAGGCTGTGTGATTGTGCAGAGGATCAAAGAACAGTGATTACTAGTAAGCAGCTTGTTCTTACTTCATGGCCTGTGTGCATCACACTAACAGGTATAGCCTAGTAAGCCGACCTACTTGGAGACAAGTACTAGTGCTTCAGGAAGACAGTCATTTGAAGACAGCTTAGCTGAAGTGTCCATCTGCTCTGGCATCTAGAGCATATTGCCTCATGAAAGTGCAAGATGGGGACCAGGTGGTTGCTCTGTAGAGCCCAGGAAGAGGAAACCTTGTGCTGAAATTTGCAGATGCAGTCAGCAGCCCTTGTGGAGTGAGCTCAAACTGTCCCTGCTTATGATCCAGCTCATACCGCAACTTGATAATCTGAGAGACCCAATGGTTGAACATCTGTGAGAAGGCACACTGTCCTTTCTTGTGACTCAGGTATCATAAAAAGTGGCATGTATGTTGTCCAAAGGCAGCAGTCTTGTCGATGTACATGGACACAGCCTTCCTCACATCCAAGTAGTGCAATACACAATCTGCATTCTAATTGTGATGAAAACCTTATGCCACCTTCAGCAGAAAGGAAACATCTGGATGAAAGACAACCTTCTCCTTGTGGAACCTTATATAAGGAGGGTCAGCTTGTTCAGATAGCCTTCTTGGCAGTATTAATGGTAACAAAAAAGGCCTCTTTAAGAGTAACAAGGTGGCCAGTGATTCAGCAGTCTTACCCAAGAGTTCGGAAAGGATGAGCTGTAGGTCCTATCAGGGACTGGTGACTGAACTTGGAAGATAAAGTTCAACAAGGCCACAGAAAACTGTTTTGCTACAGGCTGAAAAAATAGCAAACATCCGTACATGAGAAATTGAGAAGCAGACATCACAGCCAGATGAACTGAGTGTGCCAGTCCTTCAGACTTGACAGGCACAAGGTATTCTAGGATACAGGTCACTGAATGCATAGATGGATCCCATTTTCATTGGGAAGTGAAGGTGGTGAAGTGCTTCCACTCCTGGGATCTTTTGGTGAATTACTGCTGAACATTGATAATGACCTTTTTCAAAGTTTCAAGGAGCAATTCATTGGATGAATCCTCCAGACAACTAGGTGCAGGATTTTGGGTGAAGGACTCTGCCATAGCAATGAAACAGAATATTCTGCACCACAGGACTTTTGTGAACAACAGATGGCCAGTGTGACGTATTTCCTCACTGTATTACCTATGACACTGATGATAAGGTGGGATAGAAGGAAATGCTCAACTATCCTGACAAGTTCAGGAGAAAAGCCTCTCCCAGAGAGTAGTGATGTGCACCTACCCTGGAGCACAGCAAACTGCACTTCATTTTGAAAGGATTCAAAATTATCTAGATAGGCTGGAACAGTGGACTGAGACAAATAAAATGAATTTCAATAGAGAGAAGTGCAAAGTCCTACACTTAGGTACAAAAAATCAAAGGCACAGATACAGAATGGGAGGGACTTGGCTTGACAGCAGCACATGTGAAAGGGATCTAGGTGTTCTGGTTGATCACAAGCTAAACATGAGCCTGCAGTGTGATGTGGCTGTGAAGAAAGCTAATGCAATCTTAGGATGCATTAACAGAAGCATTGTGTCCAGATCAAGGGAGGTGGTAGTTCCGCTCTATTCTGCTATGGTCAGGCCTCACCTAGAGTACTGTGTCCAGTTTTGGGCACCACATTTTAGGAAGGATGTTGACAAGCTCAAGCCAGAATTGGGCAACCAGGATGGTGAGAGGGTTGGGATCCAAGTCTTATGAGGAAAGGCTGAAAGAGTTGGGTATGTTTAGCCTGGAAAAGAGAAGGCTTAGAGGGGACATGATTGCAGTCTTCAAGTATTTGAAGGGCTGTCATGTAGAAGATGGAGCAGACCTATTCTCTCTTGCTCGGATTGCAAGACTAGATCTAATGGATGGAAATTACAAGGGAGTAATTGATGCATCTCTCCTGCAGGTTGGGTTCTTCAGAGCATTGGATGCCATACCACCCTATTTACTGTTGTAGTACACGGTGGTACTGTTATTAATAGCCTGAATGTTGTAGGCTGGGAGATAGGAAGAAGTGATTTATATACCAAAGAGGTTCCAGGTGGTTGATATGAAAGTGCTTCTTCTATGGTGACCAGGGCTGTCTGAGCAAATCTGTGTCAGAGTAGGCTCCCCAGCCCCAAATGAAGGGACCTGTGGTCCGAGTTAGATGCAGAGTGGGAACACCCTGATCATGATTGTGGTAGTCTGTCCACCACCACAGAGAATGCAATACTTTCAAAGGCATGTGAATGATTTTCTGCTGAGACTCCAGTATAGGCTGGAAATGTAGAAGGAACAAGATTTGCAGAGGTCTCATGCAAAGTCTGCTGATGGATACTGCATGCAAGCCACATGAGATGTATCTTGCCACTTATGATTATGATGGACTGCTCAGGAAAGAAGTGCATGAGACATTTATTTGTCCAGAGCTAAATATTTTCTGCCAGTTCTACAGAACAGTAATGCCCCTATGTTTGGGCATGACAGGGGTGCAGACACCGTTTACCCAAAGGCCCAGCGAAGCTAGCATATGTAGATGAAAGAGAGACAGTCAATCATCCATGTAAGACAATAGTGCCAAAAATGTGCTGCACTTATTGCCACACACTTGGTGAAACCTTTTGGAGAGCGGGAGTGATGAAGGGCAGTGCGTACTGATAATGGTGACCTTGCAGAGCAAACTGGACTAATCTCTGATATTACCTGATTGAGATGTGAAAGTAGGCATCCTTTAAGACATCAGAAGCAAAACAAGCTACCAGTGTCAAAAGGAGAAGGATGGATCACCACCTGGAACTACTTGGTCTTGATGAAGTTGTTGATATCCTAGAGACTGATGATGGAATGGAGACCTCAGTCTATCTTTGGGACCATGACGTACCCAGAATAGAACCCTACATTGCTCTGGAAGCATGGCTTAGTTTCTGTTACCTCTTTATGCCATAAGGACACTATGTCTTGGAGAAAGGTAGGTTTAGAGAGGTAGTCGCAAACACTCTGCATGGTAGAAGCAAAGAGAATTCTATGGTGTTTTTGAGTAGTAGGAAGCAAGTGCTGTGATGGCCTTCCTCCCAGATTGAAAGACGTTGACAAAGATGGGTCAAGAGGCAGAGTGAAGTCACGCAAATTCTCAAAAGCCCTGCTTGAAGCCTAAAGGGACTTTGGACTGATCGGCTGAGAAATGAGATTTAGAGCAGAAGGAATGAGTTATTAATTGAAGAGCGTCTCTGATGTTCTGATGTTCTGATGAAGGAATGAGTTATTAATTGAAGATAAAGGCTTGTGAGAAAAAGAGCAGTCCAGTGGAGTGCCAGTAGAATTCAGTCATGTAGATGCAGGATTCCAAGACTGTTGCCTTTGCTTCTTGAATGAGGAAAGTGTAAGGCCCTTTGATCCAATAGTTGAATGTAGCTTTTGAATCCCCTTGAGCATCTCACTGGTCTTTTCTCTAAAGATGTCCTTCCTTTCAAATGGCAAGTCTTCAATCCATACAATAATCTTACATGATATTGTATCAGAACAGCAGCTGCCATGGTCTTTGCCTCTATGTTTTGGTGTCAGCACTTGTTGCTGTGTGAGGTGTAGACCTTCATCTCCAAAGACCCATAGCAGTCTGATCACCTCTGGGGGTATCAAAGAAAGACTGGATAGAGTGTCTCCCACATATAGGACAGGTAGTTAGATAGCTTGCTAGGTGGTGGTTCTGGTGTATAGACTCTCTTCCCTGCTCCAGTATCTTCCCTGGGACAGAGGTCAGACTGACTGGCCTGTAGTTTCCTGGGTCATCCCTCCTCCCTTTTTAGAAAACTGGGATAACATCTGCCCTCCTCCAGTCTTGTGGCACATCTCCTGTCCTCCAAGTATGATTGTTCTACCTTCTCTTAGCTGCTGCCTTGAGAAGAACATTCCTAGTTAGCTCTTATCTTTTCATAAAGAAAAAATATGTCTTTATTCAAAACTAGGAAAAAGGCTCGTTGTAGAAATAAATACAAGGAGCTCTAAAAAGAGGCTCTGGGCGGGTGCCCCAGCCTTGGACACTCAGTGTCAATTTGCTGTGGCGACCTCAGTAGGGTATAATAACACTGAGTCCACCATTTTCTCCAGAGGAACTGATCTCTGCTACCTAAAGAACAGTTGTAATTTTGAGTGATCTCCAGCCCTCACCTGGAGATTGGCAACAGTGGTTCCCCAGAAGGAAATAGTTGGTTTGGAGGGTGGAGTCTATGGCTTTGTACCTGTTCGAGGTCCCACGCCTCCTGAAACCTCACCCTCTCCAGGCTCCATCCCTCACATCTCCAGGAATTTCCCACCTGGAGTTGGCAACCCTATCTCCTTCCCAGCCAATCATCAACCTACCTTTATTTCCCCCTCATTCTTCAGCTTTCCACCCCCACACACCGTGCAAAAGCCAATGAAGTCGCATATGCAAATGACCTCTGTGTTCCGAGGCAGAGGCCAGTGAGGCTGCATATGCAAATAACCTCTGTGTTCTTACTGGCTATGGGGAGGAGAGGATTAGCAAAATGTTTAGAATGTTGGAGGCAGGACTCAGGCAAAGCAGCCAGTGGATAGGGAGACCCTCTGAATGACAGATCAGAGAGTGAACTGATATTGGAGTGTGTGGAATGTTCTAGAGAAGTGCCACCACCATTCGGCTTTTATTTATAAGGGAGATATGTTCCTCTTGCTCTTCGAAGATGACTCGTACAGATGAGCACCTTGTCTGTCTTTTGTGCCTTGGGGGAAAACACAACATAGCCACATGTAAGATCTGCCAGCAATTTACCTTGAAGGCCCGTGGTGTGGACCATGCCTCTCACCTGAAGGCTGCCTTATGGGAGAAGGCTTTATCCACCTTGGCTATCCCAGCAGCTAAAACATCTGCCCTGGTCAGCTTGCTACTTTCCTATATGGGACTGCACAGAACAATGATGATGAAAGCAGTGTTGCACTTACCTATAACTGTTGTTCATCTAGTTGTCTCTGTGCAGGCACACATCCCTCCCTCCTATCCCACTGTGAGCTCCTTGACTCGTATTTGTTGGCTCATAGCAACAGCCGAGGAGAACTGAGGGAGGGAGAGGGACCCCTCCCCAGAGCACATAACCGTTAGTTGGGGAAATGGCCCCACTAGACTTCAATTGGGAGGGGCCCCTCCTGCTCTGTTACTAGGCTAGCTAGAAATCTTCCAGTGGCTGGCCTGCGCGTGTGCACAGTCCCATGTGTGCCTGCATAGAGACAACCAGATGAACAACAGTTACAGGTAAGTGCAACATTGCTTTTCCAGGCAGCTAAAACTGCAGAGACTGGAGCAGTGGGGTGGCAGGATCCGTCAGTTCCTCCAACACCATCAGGGCCTTCTCCCAAAGGGCAGCCTGCAAAGAAGATCTGATTTTGATGAGCCTGCTTGGTGAACTTTTGCCCATGGATGCAGGCACTGACTTTGTGTTTCTTCCCTGGACAAAGAAGGCAATAATTGTTGCTATCCTTGGGATAGAGTTTTTCCGTGCCTGTTGGCTGTATTTAAAAATTGTCTTCTGTACTATAGGCACCTATGTGCTGTACTCAAAGAAAAACTGTATAAACTAGATAAGTAAACTTACTACTATAACACCTATAGACACCACAAACTATGAAAAACTTTTAAATAGAGAAAGCAAATAAGAGAGAAACTAGCATTGGGAGAAAGAAATGTCACGGAGAAGGTTCCCGATCAATTCTACCACTGGCAGCCAAAAGAGAACTGAGTGGGAATGCCTTACTCCTCTCCCTTGGGCCTATGCATTCCAAACTCTCTCTGAAGGGATAGGACTTTCATGCCTAAACACTAATCCCAAAAGTTTCCAAACTGAGGCCTTGCTCAGGTGACAAGCCCATCAATGTGATGCACACATACCACAAAGCAGTTTAAAAAAAACCCTCCTGTACTTTCAGTTGTTATATAGAAGAGTCAGGTTTGGAGTTCACTGGCAGATGAGCTGGAGTTTGGGACACCAGAAACCAGGTTTGCAAAATAGGAAGGAAGGTATGCTGACATCAAAACTAAGCAGTATTGCTTCAAAACATGCATTAGCAAATGAATAGAGTCTATAAAGCTGTGTTTTCCTCATGCAGTTCTAGAGACTTGTTGGTATGAATTTTTGTTTTTGGACAACCTAGTTTATCATTCTAAAAGGGCTTTTAATGTTTATAATGGATTTTTTTTATTTATTCTGACACAGGTGATCTGGATAGTTTTAATCCAACATCCTCAAGTGTAACACATGGTGATCAGACACCACTTCCCTCATCCTCACATTCTGCTTCCACATCTGAAGCATCTCATTTGCCAGGATCAGAAGAAGCTTTAATGAAAGTTCAGACATCTGAGAAACTGGAAGAACGGAAGAACACTGTGCCTGAAAAGAAAAGCACTTTAATGGAAAACCACTTGGAGACAGAGAATACGACCTCTACACAAAGGAATGTGAACAAGCAGGACCTCTCCTCCCGCCTAGGTAATGAGATGGCACACAGTAATGCACAGCTAGCAAAGGGCAAGGCAACCAGAGGCAGATCAACCAGCAGAGGAAGATCAGCTAGTCCAAAAAAGTTAAGCAATAGTACTTCCAAAGACCAACATCAGGTACGAAGCATCAGCCCTAGGAGGGGTGAACCTAAAAAACACCACAAGAGGTGCTTAGACCAACCAGAGAGTCCCAGAAAACACATGAACAAGCACCCAGGAACATCTGAGAATGTAGTTATTGGAAGAGGCCCTACCCGGGTAAAGAGAGGCAGATCTGTCAGTCCCCAGAAACATCCAAAGGGTGAGAGAAGCAGAAACCAGCTAAATATGGAAGAAGGGTTACCAGAACTTCAAAGCAGAACACCTGCTAGTGATAAAACCTCAACTGTACCACCAAAAGATGAAAAGGCTATATTGGGAGACTTGGGAGCCATGAAGGAAAATAAAAACCTAAATATAGCTACAAAGGAGGAGAATTATTCTTCAGACACTGCACATGCCAAGTCAGTAAAGCAATCTCTCTCACCTTCTAAGGCTAATCAATTTAGGAAGAAAAAGTTGGAAGATGAAAAAATAAAGCCAAGCTTTGAAGAGTCAAGCTCTAACCAGTCCCAAATGGCAGGTCTTCCTGATGATTTAACACTTTCCGGGGATAAAAACACTAGACTTGAAGCAGAAAAGCCTCTGAATAAATTCAGAGACAATGACTTGGAGCCAGCTGACAAAACCAAAGAGGATGGAATTTCCAAATCTGAGATTAGATCTCCAGTGAAGAAAACAATAACTCCTGGACCTTGGAAAGTACCAAGTCCAAGTAGAGTCACAAAAGCAGCAAGTGTGACTGACAAACGGGTTTGACTGACAAAAATATTTTAGAGCATATTTTAATTAGGTTTCTAATGTGGTCACAGTTTGTTTTCACAAAACTATCATTTTTCAGACACTGTGATTGACTTAATGAAAAGTACATTTGATTTGATCATGAACTAATTAGGCTGCATGAAGGACCTTTTGGATTGCGTATAAGAAACTCTCTTCAAAAGCTGCTGTCCTTTTGTCCCTTTTAAAGGTTGTGTCCTGCTGCTCCTGATGTTGCACTGCTAAGGCTTTCTGATAGTATTGTGAGTTAATGAACAAAATTATTTAATGCCTATTATCAGTGTACTCATGACTCAATACTCGTTCTTGTGCCAAGTTATCTACTGTATCCTGTTGAATCTTCTCCTGCATTTTCCACTGCCACAGAAAAGGAAGATTTTGTTTAAAGATGAGTATTTACTCAGGCATGCTGCATGTTTACATAAGGGATATTTCTGAGTTCTCACTGCTTAAGCAAGGTTGGATGGGCTGGTTCTCTTGGCTCTGTGGAATCAGGGAGCAAACACATCCCAATAGCCTTCTTTCACAAATCTTTGTCCTCAAAACCCTTCTGTACCAGCAAAGTGAGTCTGAGCAAGAAGTGCCCCATTTTGCATATTTAATACTTTCATTTGACTGAATAATACCCATTTTGATTCAATTTTTGATGCCATCTTCAATACATTATGCAAATTTCAATCTGAGAATTAAGCAGCAATTTTAAAATCACAGTAGAATTCCATTTGGCAGGGAGGGCGGGACATTAAATAAATAATAATTTCTTTGAGACTACCTTGAAGTAAGTGGGTTTGGGGTTGCCCTCAAATTATGTGCTTTTTAAAATGAACACTTTTAACATTAGAAATTAAATACGCCAAGTGTGCATATGCTTCCAGGCTTACTATCATGCTGTGTGTCAGACTCTCCCATCTGTTCTTCGTTTTTGTTTTATTTTCCCCCTTAATGCTGGTTAAACACTTGAAAATTTCCTGTCTTGCCTAAAAATGGAAAATCTTAAATCATAGCAAGCAAAGTGAACCAGAACCAATCCACCAATGTTAACTTCTTAAGAACTGTCCTTCCTTGTGCCTGTTAACAGAAGCCTATTCTGTTTTACTTTGTAGGTATATTATTTTCAAGTTTTCAACAGAGTCCATTGAACTTATCTCTTTTGTTTCTGCATGTGTGCAAATGTTAATATTGATGAATGTTAACAGTGGAGCACCTTTGTACCTCAAGCATGTAGTCAATCAGAGGTGGCAATCTATAAAGAGAGAGCATTTGGGTTTTTCAGTGTTCTAGTCCTGGTCTGGTTGCCTTTGAATTAGTTTGAGTAACAGGAGTGGTTTAGTTTGATCCAGACCAGCAAAGCAGAAAGGAAGGGAAGGGAGCGTTGCTGTATGAACTCTTACATGATCCATAAATAAAATATTTTAATTTTTTTGCCAATTAGCCTCCCAGTGAGAAACAAAAATTATGACTCTTCCCCAGAAGGTAACTAGAGGAAACATGTTTTGTTTTTAAATACACTAAGAAGTTGGAGAAGAGCAAGAGCCAAGTAGCACCTTAAAGACTGACAAAACATGTGGCAGGGGATGAGCTTTTGTGAGCTCACCGCTCACTTCTCATACCTGCCACATATTTTGTTAGTCTTTAAGGTGCTCCTGGACTTTTGCTCTTTTCTACTGCTACAGATGGACTAACACAGCTACCCATCTTGATCTATCACAAAGAATTTAGGTAAATGAAGATTTTACTTCCCCTTTTTTACTTTGTCTATTTCAGCTAACCTTTTAGAATCAGCTTATCTTATTCTTTCCCCTTTCTTCTCAAGCTTTTCCCCATCCTTGTTTTCTGTACCCTTCAGTTATTTCTCTCTCCACCCCCCATCCCCAGCTTTCTGGCATGCTCAGCCCTGTACTATGCACAGATGATTCTTAGAAACTTGTAGGTGGTGTAGCAGAGCTCTCACTGCCTGGGATGTTCAGGTACATTTTACATCCTGCCATGGTTTCTGTTAACTGGTTTTGTGGATTTGGTAGTGCTTCAAGCAATACATGAAAAAAAGTTAAAACTTGCTCCCAGTAGCATAACCAGCACTGCAGCAGCAGTGTATGTTGCAGACACGTTTCTGATATTGTCTGTATGAACCCTAAGGCTGAGTGAAACTTTCCTCCTTTCCTCTTCGCCCCCTCACAGACACAAAATGGGGAAAGAAGTATCTGTATCTGTTATTTAATAGCCAATAAGAAAATCAATGCAAAGCTACTCTTTCCTACATATCAACAGCCTATCATTTCAAGAACATTTTACATTCTTTTTCTTTCAATGGCCAACATATTCAAGAATTCATTGTTGTTTTTTCTCTTTGTAGTGAAATCATCTAGACCAGAACACTGGGTAGTCAATTTTACTCCATTGATCTGCATAGGCATTAGGGTAAGCAGCTGCAAGTGGAAGTTTAAAAAAATGAGTTTTTCCTCTTTGTAGACAGCCTCCCCACTGCCATTATGTGTGTTTTACCACTGTTGCTGGATCAGGGCAGCTGCCTCAGTAACACCAACAGGGAAGCTTTCCCATTTACAGGAATTACAGGAATTTTTGTCTGCTCAGCCTTTTAGTCTCTCTCTGTGTGCTCTTATTTTTTCACAGTACTTTTCCTTCTGCATGAGCCTATCATAGAGAGCAACTAAAGCCGGCACTGGTCGTTAGCAAATATAGGCAAGGCTGACAGCTTTAGGGATGTTGTTTCTTTTGGAAGTATTGCTTTTTTATTATTATTATTAAAGTTTACTGATATATATGTCTTTCCTTCCTTGCTGGGTCTGAATACTAGTGCAATGGCTAGTGGACTGGTCCAGCCTACTAGGACACTAGCAATTCTGTGAATTCTCTGGATGTGAGCACAAGGTAGTGAAGTTCCTGTGATCCCAGATGGGGCATGATTTCAGGATTGAGCTCAGGAACTTTCTTATAGAAGAGGTGTATCTGTTGTCAAGGTAACATGAAGTTGTTGCTGAGTTTGTCTGACTTGCTGTTCCCTTGAGCTGAATGTGCCACTACAACTTAACCAGAAACAATCAGCAGAAATGACAGCTACAAGTCACCTGCTCAAGGTTCTTAAGCGTCTTAGAAAAGATGGTTGCTGACTGCCCCTTTCCTTACTAACCTTCTCCCAGACTGATCATCACAAGGATCACAATGAGAGACTGAAATATGGAAAGGATTACAGCAACTGCAGCCAAAGCGTCAGCACAGAGCCTGCTGGCCAGCAACTATCATAGGAGAGAAAACAGAAGCCTGTTCACTGCTGGAAAAGAAAAGGGGCATAATAGGCAGTCTTGTTCTTAGAGGTACTTCCTCCTTGGACAGTCAGGACCATATACTAGTGTAATAATGTTCATTTAAGTCATGCTGGAACATCTGTTCATCTTTAAAAAACTTGAATAAAATGTATGTTCATTAGCTGTCCGAATTTACAAGTCTCCTAGAGATCCTCAACGAGGCTTTTTTAAATCTGTTTGAATAGTAGTACCCCCACACATACACACACCATACCAGATTTGCTTCGTAACTGGTCTCAGCTTGAAAAGCACCTTCTAATAATATGTCTCAAATGGTGGTGTTCAGGAAAGGAAGATAAAAGCCGCATTGGCTGGGCATATCTGTGGAGGCAAGTCACTGAGACAAAATAAATCAGTTCTCAGCAGGAGTTACCAACCAGAAAAAACATTTCTGGTTAAACTATTTTTAAAATAGTTTTTCTTAATGTGTCATTTGATCTTGTTTAAGAACTCAAGTTGCTATAGGAAGTATGTGCAAATATTGTGGAATATTACTGTGAAAATACTTAATATTTGAGTTAGGCTGTGTAGATTAATATCTTAATAAATGTCATGAATCCTTTCAGTAAGATTATCTCCACTCAATCACAAAATACAGCATTGAATGAAAACTGCAGAAGTATCAGGATGACTTGGTGAAACTGAAATGGCTCCTTTCCCCTCTACTCAGCAAGTAACTGTCATCCAGATGCTACTCTGCCATCTAATGGTGTGACCTAATTTGTTGTCTTCTGTTTAATGTGAACCCTCCTAGTCAGAGACTCTATATCTGTACGTATCTGCATAAAATGACTTAGCAATGTGGCCTTGGAATGCTGAGAAACCTATGGTTGTACTGGATGTAAATGTTTATATATTGTACAGCACCTTTATATATACTTCTGAGGTTCTGACTAGAAATACCTGTAAATTGCTCATTATTTTTTATATAGATACATTAAAGAGAGACTCTAGTTCATGGCCTCTGGCTTACTGTATACTGTAGCTGCCTTTGTGAAGAATTAACTCCTTTGGTTTACAGCTCATAAGAATGTTGGATTCATTCCAGTTATGAGTGGAAGGAAAACAATTGTTAGCATATTGTTCAAAAACACTTGAGCAGATGTACATACATTGTTGCAACAGATACATTTTGCAAAAGTTCTCATGCTTCTGAAACCTTTTACACAAGCACACTATAACACAGTTATATTCATCTTTGGTAGGGAAGGCTTCAAACAATTCTTCTGCTTTTGACTCCAACAGCTGTAGATATATATTTGACCTTTACAAAGAATGGACAGAACTGTCCATTCTTCCTTGGCTTTTCTTTGACACTATATCTGACTTAGTTGGATGTTAGTTGTCATGATTTCTTTCAACAGTTTACAGCCTTTACTTCTGCCAGCACGGAGGGTATTGTATTTTCCTTAGAAAGCTCTAGGGCCAGAATCTCCCTTGAAAGATAGCAGTTTCTTCCCCTTCAGCAAGTGAAGTTACTTTTATTTTAAAAAATGATTCCCATGTTACGTCAGACCTTTTCCATATTGTGTGGGAAAACCATACAAATATGTTCTAATGCCTGTGCACGCATTTGGGAGATGTTAAGGGTTTTAATTGTGAATACGATTTTCCCAAACATGTACATAGTAGTATACCTATAGGGAGAAGGCATGTATGAAGCAGCAACATTCTTCCTGAACCCTACTTGGCAGCAGGTGCCGGTAGAGTGTTTTATCATCAGTCCCCTAGAATAGGAAAATGTTCAGGGCCAGCCCACTTTACATGGGGCTAAGTGCCACCCGTGGGTGGTACAATCTTTTCCCACCAGGAATCTGGCTTTTTAATTTCTTCTTAAACTGTGTAAAAATCTGTTCTCACTCCATGGCAAGGTATAAACATTGCTGTGTTCTCTCCTGGAGAGATTGTGGTGCTTGTACAGATCAATCTGAGCTCACATAATATAAAAATTATCATCTTTCCTGGTGTGTGTGGCAGACCTACTGTAAGCCACCTTCTGGTGCTGGTTGTATGTTACTAAGCAACTGCAGTCTGAACTGCCAGATGCCTGGAGAGATTATACTCCTCTTATGGGGATAGGATGTCATTCTTTTTTCTCTTGTAAGTCAGCCAAAAAAATTTGAAAGCTTTTTTTGAGTGATACTAGGCTTTGCAGTAGAGGTACTTCAGACTTTTCAAAGTGTAGATCAACAGTAAGCTACAGAAAATATGTGTTTCTGCTAGAAACAAGGACCTGGTCTAAGAACCACATTGCCCCAGTATCTTCTATCCTTGTGGGTCATGTGCTTGTTCGTATTCTAGTTTGCTCCAGCTGGACTAGTTTGAACTATATCGTGCTGCAATGTATTCTTAATTTCACATTTCTCCAGTAAGAGGCAATGGGTGGTTTCTGCTGTACTCCATGGGAGCTGCAGATTTGTCCCATTAAGATAATCTTTGCTTATTAGAATAATTTACCAAGGTTTATTGAACTATATCTTCAAGATATACGATCACTCAGAAGAGTAAGGAGGATGCATGCATGTTGGTTAAAGCACCAGCTTCCAAACCAAGACCGTGTAGGCATCTGTCTTGCCTCCATTGATCACTCTTGGGCTTTGCACAGGGGAAGACTTAGGTTCTGTTCTTCAAGTCATGGTTTGATTTTCCACAACTAAAAAAAATAATTAGACATCATTACTATCAAGCTAAGAAAGCAGATTTCAAGGCCAATTAAAAATCCCATCACAGCAAAATTGGTTTCATAGCTTGGACAATGGCTTGGCTCCTCTGGTGTTGTTCTGTCAGCATAGCTGCATTTTTCAGAAGACCAGCTTTTCTGTTTGTGGAGAAGAGGAGGTGGGTTTTTACTGATTCCCCTTTCCTACTGCAGACTCCCAGTTGGTCAGTGGACCCAAAGGAACATGACTTTGGGAGGCAAAGAAGGCAGGGTAGTTGCTTTCCTCAAGTGTGACTCTGCTCATGAAACTTAGGATTGAAGCTTAAGACCTTCCCACAGCAGAAAAGCTGAGTGCCAGACCCAGTCAGTGTCCAAACCAGTCTCGCCCTTTTTTTTCAACCCAATAGGCTTGCACACATAAATAGGGGGGGGAATTACTTGTGAATTCCCCAGTTAGTAAATGAAGGTTGGGGCAGATATTGCAAGCACTGAACTTCTACTCTGCTTGGGGTTTTTCAGTCTTTCAAGAATTCAGTCTTGAAAGGGAATATGAGAGAGAAATTCCTGTCTTCTCCAAGTAAAGGCAGAGCTTTTGCCTGACTGGACAAAAATGTGTACATCTCTGTAATTCTGTTTCCCAAAGTCTTAACAGAATGGTGAGAAAACACACATTCAAAAATCATCATTCAATTTCACTCGCCCACCTCAGCACTTACTCTGATATTGAATCCTAGCAGATCACTTATAACACCAGAGACTGCAGACAGGATCACCACACGTGTAATGTTGTAGATTAAGGGATTCATTGTCAACCCATAGAGTCTAAATGGTGTATCTAACTCCTGCAGTAAGAGAAGACAAATTAATGAGGCAGTTCTGCTCCCATATAGTAAGGGAATGGCCATGCATCCCTTACCAGCAAACCAGTCCATGGCCTATTAATAGGAAAATTGCTGCAGAGGGTTGCATTGTTCTTAACCACTTACCTTCAGGAGCTTGGTAGACAGCTTTAGGACATTGTTCACAAGAATAAGCTGTTCTTTCTTATTTGGCTTTTTCTCCATCTTTAAATATAAGTTTACCTGAAACACAGATTATTTTTAAAAGCATTTATTCAACACAGGCACTAATGCAAGTCAACACAGAAAACAACGCAAGTCAGTTCTGCAACTGTAGAGTCTGCAGGTTTGTGCAACTGTGGCACAGGTAACTTCCCTCATCCTCCCTTAAAGCCAATAGTCCTCAACTGCAGAAGACACTAACCCAAGAAACGTTTGTGTTTTATCAGCAACTATTTTTCTTTGAGCCATAAATGAGACATCTGAGACTGACTTTAGAAGGAGCTTTTAAATTATATTTTAAACTATATAGATACACATACATTGTTTATCTGCATGCCAACAAATGTCTCTAGTTCTCCCTTCACTAAAACTCAGATAGACAGAGACAATAACAGTCCAAGAAGGCAAGTCTGCAAATTAATCCTGGCTGGATGAAGAAACGGTATGGTTTTAAAAGCCTGGCCTGAATAATTTCAAAGGTGCCTACATTTGTGAGAGTGGTTTAGCAGAGATGGTTATGGGAAATGTGCCCAGGCTATTTGCTTCCAAGGGTATGGAAGAGGTAGGTGCAAAATAACAGCAGCTGGGGGGGATTATACTGAAGCCATACCCCCCCCCCCGGGACTAGTAGACTGGCCCAGCTTGTTCCTGGCTTCAGATTTTGCCAGACAGTCCCTGCACAGCTCCCAGTTTCTCTATAGTCATACAGACAGACCTTGATTTCTTTAAAATGGAGATGAAAACTTTGCACTCATTTGTTCCAGTTACAAATGCCGGTTATTTACACAGTAAAATTGTGGCTCTGTGGGCAGAAAACCCTGGCCTTTGGCTTGGAGCATCTGGTTTGAAGTCACACTAAGGCAAATTTAGTTAAAACACTTAAACATGCTCCATTAAACATGTCATGAATTATGCCAGGTTATTCTAGGGCAAGTTACCATTAGAAACCCATTTCCACACACCTATAGTATTAAATGGTAACACTGCCAAGAGTTTCTACTGAAATGGCCAAGTTACACTTTTAGGCTAGAGAAAAGGTGTTCATGGCAACAGTACATACAAACAAGATACCTGCTCAGTAAGCAGAATTGAAACATTACTGTATTTCTTGTTGGTTTCAGACCCAAGAGATGCAAAGCGCAGCAAGAAGAGAAGCAGGGCTGTTTCCCAGATGAGGAATTCCCAGTTGTAAGCTGCATTCAGAAATGTCTTGTGACCCTTTAAAACCTATGATAAATAATATGACAAATCAGCAGACACTCCCATAACTTTCTGCAGCATCTGCTGCAGCACAAAAAGGACTTGGAGTGATTCCTTTCCACATCTGAATTTTAAAGCATGCACAATAATAACAGTTCCTTGTCCATCAAGTTCTGATTTAAACATGAACTGGTGAGGCAAAAAACCCCCCTTGTGTGTCTCTGCATACAGCCAGCATCACGACTAAAAATTGCCTGCTTCCCAAGCAAAGTAGCTACCCATGCATACCACACCAGAGATACATAGCTCAGCAGGTGAATGTCACACTGGCATGTTAAGTATGTGTAGGAAGTCCGCAGCCCAGTTTCAGTTATCCTGGATGATTCTTGTCAGGCCTGATTCCAGGATAGCCACGCCCCTGAATAGCTGCAAAAGTTTAGTTGATCTTTCCTATATCATTCATCTCCTTGCAAGAAATACACCAGACAGGGTGTTTGGTTCATTGTGGGCACAGTAGGCATATAAACTGTTAAAAAATATCTGCCTTACTTAATTTTTTATAAAATTCAACATTTTTAACTTTGATTAACTTAAAAGAATATGATCAACACTATCCATTCTACACAGAAAATCAATGGAGAGCAATTACATGGGTCCATTCAAAAGTACAAAGGCCAAGAGCTTCCTTCCAGAAGAAGGTGGTAATCAATTTACACTTCCAGAAACATTGCTACCAGTAACTAACTGTCCTGCATGAGAGGGCTCACATTCTTGGCTAATGAATTGTTCTACAATTTCAAATACCATATATGTCCTCTAAAATTATATAAATGCTGTTCTAGTACATTTTTGCTATTTTAGTCATAACAAAGAATATCATAAATAATGATTACAAGTTTTTCATACATATGATTATCTGCTGGCCCCCAACCAATACAACCACATCTTTGATCCTTGTCTGAACGGTCTTTCCACTCTCTGAAGCTTCTTGCACTTGGGCAACAGTATATACATCTATTAATATGAATTATACTAGTTCCAATATACTAGAGGCTGTATTATTTTGTAGCTTCTTTGTCTTTCCCCAAGGCTGTTCTGTTTTGGGTTTCTTGATTCCCTATTTGGCTTTTCCCAGTATTATGCTAAGATGTGAGGCTGCCCTTGATTCTGGCCTGCAGAATCTATGTCCTTTTTATTAAAGACAAGCAACTCCTCCCCTATATTCCCAGCCATATCCGTGACAAAATGAGACTGTGAGCATGTGCACAATTAAACAGGTAAGACATTCTGCCCTGCCAGCATAATGTTTAAATGAGTCCAAAAGACTCCAAGAATGGAATTCTGTGTTAATTTGGCAGATCCATGTCCTCAAACCCACATTAACCAAAGTAACCTAAAGTGGCAAAGGGGGAATTTGTAAGGGAGAAGAGGGAGGATGAGTTACTTAATTCTTTATCACCTGCCAATTCTCCCTTGCAAATGCCCTCACACACTTTCCCCCCCAAGTTCATTTCTTCCTAGCCAGGATCCATCAAATTGGTGATTGCTTAACTAGGGCTGTGGTCACACGGAGCATTAGCCATAGGCGGATTTTCCGGGCGCGATCACACCGCCACATCTGGGAAGTGTAGAGCTCCCGTGGCGAGCCCGAGGCTTCCTGCCGAAGATGTGCGGTAAAAAACCAGTTCCTCGGAGGTACTAGTTTTCGGAAACCGCGGGGCAAGGGCGGGCATCTGATAGCGTTTCCAGTGGTAGTTTCGGCGCCCTCCCATGTCCCCTCACAAAAAGGTTTTTTCCCCCAAGTCTCCACGGATGCGCACAAGCACCCAACGGAGCATGCGCACACTTCAGTTAAAAAAACAACAACCCCGTTTGCCCTGCGCCCCGCTTCTTTGCCACGCCGCAGGACTGTGGAGTGATCGGCACCTCCCCCCTACCACAGGACCTCCACGGTAGGTCTGCTCGCGCAACCGCGCGTTATTTAGCTCCGGGGCAAACAGCCACACTTCCCCCCCCCCCGCATTTTCCTGCCCGTGTGACCGCAGCCAATAACATATAAGTTGTCAATAAAACTGGTCTCCCTAAGAGAAGAGAGTAGTAAATATACCACCAGGTTTTTAAAAGAAATGCAAGGTACAGCCAGGAAATTATAGGATAGTAAGTATAACGTCTGTTCCAGGTAGCCAACTAGGAACTTAAACCATTGATGAAGGAAAGGCAAATGCAGCTGAAGTAGTTTAAGTAGCTAACTCATACTGTTAATCAGAGAAACTTGTAATCTTAAAAATGGTTTCCCATTGTTCCTGGAAATGCCCTTCTAGGGAATACACAGTAATCAAATGAAGTATATTGAAGCAATCAGCTCCAACTGATACAGAGACCTTGCTTTTTCAGTAGTATATCTTCTTTAGACAAGGTTGCATTACATAAAACTACACATATTTTAGGAAGAACAAGAGCCTTGCTGAGTGCTTCTCCCCTAGCGTGTATGTACTGCAGCCAATTTAAAATGCATTTCTTTGTGAGAGAGTCCGGAACGAGGATTCCTGCTACTTGTAGGGTTAAACATAAGGGCCTCCAAACAAGTATCAGAGGATTGTAGCTTTATTAAATGGAGACTGACCATATACAAGAACTATAACGTTTTAGTTTCACTGCATAGTACACTATATTATAGCCCTCTAGTACTTTTATTTGAAAATTGCTCCCATGTCAAAATCACATCTCATAGAAAATGCCCCATATCAAACAGAAAGCAAGGCTGGGAGCTTTTTAATGTGCTAAGCTTTTCAAACGGGCAACAGTTTTCAAACAGCTTCCCATGTTCCAACAGCTTCCATTCACCCCAGTCTCAAATGTTTGAACTGCCCCTATTTCAAGAAGCAAAATTATCTTTAAGACTAAATATTAAATGATTATGAGAATCTTACCTGTGCACAGCATATGAAAACAATTGAAAGAGCCAGTAAGAAGATGGAGGATACAATTACATCAACAGATCGTTGTGGGCCTCGCCTCTGCCAAAACAAGATGTTGAATGAGAGCAGAGGAAATACAGGAGTTCAGAGAAGACAGCCACAGAGTGCAGTACCAGTACACACTGGAACATCATAATCTCCCCCATAGTTTGAGAGACCATCCACAGCTTCAGTCTTCTGCTTTAAGCTGAGAGTCAGTGCATTTAAGCTTAGGCTCACCTTTAAGTAGGAGCGAAGTGATAACCACATCCTAATGTTTTCCAGCTTCTTCAGTCTGAAATGAGGGATTTCATACTTCCTGGCTTTCCGAGCAGAGGTAATGTGGCTAAAAAGTTTGGCAAACAAAAATCGCTGCCAAAGAAATTAATATCAGTTATGAAAAACCTTACACTGTTACCACCGAGCAATTCTGCTAGAGCCCTCTCTAACATCACATTTCAGATGCCTTGCTACCAGGCTACCAATCATGACCATAATATTCACACATTAAGGAACATGACAGCAAGATGTGAAATACGACTTAACAGGTTTCAGCTTCCACCTAAAGCTGCCACTTCCAGGAAGGGGAGAAACATCATACATTTTGTAGTACCAGGTGTTATCTGGAGATAACTTTTTGGCAACCTCTTGGTTGTTCAAGACTAACCTGTTTATATGTTCTCTCAGCAACACACATCATGAAGAAAAACATCCAGGTAAGGCATAGTCGCTCAAGAAAGATAATCATTGCAAGGAGGACAACAAGGGGGATTGTGGGGGCCCCACAAAAAATAAATAGAAGTTCTTCTAAAGAAAGTGACCACAACTGCTCCAAGGTCTTTGAGTGGAAAAGTCGATAGAGGAACGGAAGGAATGCCAAACCAACTGTAACAATATTTCCCAGCCATTGATAACCTGATCCTTGCTGGCAGGCATTGACCTATTGGTTAAGAAAGCAACAGCAAAATTACACAGAGTGTAAACAGCTAAGTTTTAAGGATAAGTGCTAATCAACTATGAAAAAGAAAAACCCTTCAGTAATGCAAAATCCATTTTGAAGCATGTTAGGCATTAGGGTTTCCAAATGGGGGCGGGGGATGGGGAAACCCCCGCTTTGGAGGCCCGATTTCTGCCGCGGCGGAATCGGGCCCCGGGGGGAACTCCGCCCCCCAAAGCTCCGTCACCAAAGGTGACGCAGCCACGTTGCTGACGTTGGGGACGTGGCTGAGCTCGTCGGGGGGAAACCCATATGGTTTTCCCCCCGATGAGCTCGGCCACACCCCAACGTCAGCAACGTTGCAAATCACTTCTGGTGACGTGGCGGCGGCGCGCGCTTTGCGCGCGCACGTGCACATACAGAGCCTGCTCCCGACCTCATCGGAGCCTCCCCCGCCAGTAAGTTTGCCAGACTTGGCAACCCTATTAGGCATTAACAGGACCTCATAAATAAATGCACTTAACAAGAAAACCTCATCTTTGGGGGTCATATATTCACCTCTTCAGTCACTGAAGATTTTGCACAGCAGAGATGACAGAGTAAAACATTTTCCATACCAAAAACCTGCACCCATGGAATCCTGCGAAATTTTGGTGCAAACGATGTCAGTCTTTCTTACCCTGCTCATGATGATCCCACTGATCTCCAGCACAGACAGGTCCAGTTTCTTGCATTCATTCCCCTCCCAGATGAGAGCACTCACTTTGGAAGAAGCAGGACTTGTGTTCTGCAGCCAGAATAAGTGATTCTGAGGAAGAAAATGGATCTTGAAGCCATACTTTGTATTATATCGTGAGGAATTGTGAATTTGGTGATGTTCCCTTACTGTACAGCATAGTTATTTTAAGAAGATCCCATGAGGAAAAAGTGTTTGCTTTAGTTTCACTTTTCACTAGTTATGCTGGTTATGGCCTTGTCTCTGTTCCAGTAAAGTTCTGACCAGGCCTTGCCTCTGTTCCAGTAAAGTTCTGAACTGTTTTGGTACTGGATGCTGTGGAATTATCTCATTGGCAACAAGGATAAAACTACAAAGACCATAGAAACGTACACTGCCATGCTGAAATTTGATTACACTCTGGAAAATCTGCTTCTAGCATGAGGAAAAAATAGCTTCAGCACAGCAGCTCTGGTGATATATAATAGCTAATGTTCCATTAAGTTATAAGACATGAACCTATTTGAATGGATGCCAAGTGAGGCTCAAGCCTTTATCGTTCTGGAGGATTTGGGGTGCCACGATCTGCCTATAATAAAATACAGTCAAGCTTTAACATCATGAAGACTAAAGGGCTGGACAAATCCAAGAACAAGCAGCTATCACTTGAAGATTATTTTTTTTAGCTCACCCTGTCTTGCGGCACCCGGGTCTTGAACCACTGAACTACTGACCTTCCACAGCCTGCAGTTCAGCGTCTTAACCACTTGAGCCACCGCAGCTCCTATGCTTATAGGACTTTATTATTGCTGTATCCAAGGATTTTTCCATACAGTCTTTATTACACAGTAACTGAACATTTGTTTCATTGTCTCTTCTGCTAACAGCTCTTTCACACGGCACTAGAAGCTTTCTGCCAGCAGAACAGCCTCCTGTGTTGCAGAAGATTCCATGCACTAGAGGAAAGTGTTACCATTAGTGGAACAGATCCATAGAACCCAACTCAGTATATCTTTTTAAACAAAGACCTTCTCTTGTAAGAGTATAGTCTCTGAGCAAAAACAATATGCATTTTTTCAAAGTGGTATGCTTCAGATTTGGATTTTGAGAAAAGTTTCCATACTAGTATTCTGGATTATTCGAGTACATAATACCTTTCCAGATTATTTTTTTCCCTGAATTCTGGGGGGTCCATTATTCCCTATGGGGGACTGTTTTTCAAGCAAATGGCATCAAAATTGCAGAGAACCCAGTCCTGTCTGCCCACTGTTTCCTGTCTGTCCATCAAGGTTCAAGCAAATTGGGTCAAGCACACAAGAGCAACCACTGGACAAAAGTCTCCAAATGCAAACATGCCAAACAGAAGAAACATCAAACTGGAGAATCCATGCCAAACCAACCAGGCAAGCCAGTACCATACCAGCCACACCTAGCAAGACCCTAACAAATACACACTAATGCCACTTCCCAAAGGAAAGCCTCAGAAAGCGAGACGGAGGGGGTCTGGGGCAACACTAGTTCATAGCAGGAGCTGCAGCTGCCCTTCATCACTGGTGTTCCTGTTCCCTGTATGGATTGTGATAATGCTATTGTCACAAGCACCTATTAGATTTTTTCCATAATGTAATCAGTAGCAAGTATTGAAACTCACCCCCTTGATGAAACCCCTTATAAGAATTTTGAGGGACATCATCCTACAGGACATTTCTGTCAAAACCCAGGAGCCATGCCTGCTTCCATAAAGCTGAAGACCACCGCTGTGGACCAAGATCCTGAATTCATCTTGACACACCCATTGTTCAAGGACTACTTTTGCTTAAATCATGCCTTGTATTCTGTAGACCTTCAGAAAGAATATGTCCAAGCTAACACACTTGGTCCCATTCCATTGACGCAGTGGCAGCTTCTCCAACTGAACAGGATTTCGGTTTGCAAAGGAGAGGAGGGCAATTTATGCAGATTCTCCCTTCCTGCTGCAGACACCCAGTTTGCCCTCTTCATTGTTCCTTCCAGTCCACTAACCCAAAGGGACATTGTTTTTTTTGGGGGGGGGGGGAAAGGCTGCGGAGAGTGGGGAGATGGGGAAGCCATATTCCTCTAGCCTGAGCCAACTTGTGGTGCTTAGAATCCAAGTCAGTTCTTCATGTCACTTTCAGCAATATTCAGTTGCTCGGAAATATAAATAGCATAAATATATAGCATAAATAATATTGTGTATGTTACTTGATTGATCTCTGACCATATTAAACTCGTCTTGTCTTGTCTTGTTATAAATAGCGCAGCAAACCCAAACAAGGTAACAGATAAATTCAGGTGGGTTGCCACTGGACTCAAACTTTGTTTCCTAGATAAATGTCACGGTGAAGAGACATGAATGTAAAGAATTCCCTGGCAAAGTGCCTGTATATCCTGATGGTAGAGAAAACACCACAGGAGATATTTGACACTTTTTTTTGTTTGTGTGTAAGTCACATCCACGGATAATAGAAGGGGAATGTTGAAGGAGAAAAAAGGGGTTTTAATGGACAGAAGGTTCCTTGCACTGGAGGAAAGTACTCCCATTAGTGGAACAGATCAATAGCATCCAACCCAATATATCTTCAACATATTTTCCGTATCATATTTTCTGAGCAAAACGGATGTGCATTTTTTTAAAAAGTGTTCTGTTTCAAGATTTGGATTTTGGGAAAGGTTTTCATACTAGTATGCCAGATTATTTGAGTACACAATACCATTTCAGAATTGTTTGTGGGGGGGGTCTTCAGAATTTCAAAAATTTCCATATTCATTATTCCCGATAGGAGGACACTTTCCAGAGGAACTGATTGTTTTTCAAGCATCAAAATTGAAGAGAACCTAGTCCTGCCTGTTCACTGAAGGATAAAAAGTTTTGCATGATACACACCTGCTGGAAAACATCTTCCTTCAGATCACGCTTGCTTCCCCTTGCTTCTTTTCCTTTGGCTTCTTCACTGTCACTGGTAAAGGAGGAGCGGCACTCTGGCCCATGAAGCAAGTCATCCCACAGCACGTCCTCTGTTTCAGAACCATGGCGGGTGCTTTCTGAGTCTCTATGAGATACACTGCCACTCCGAGATCCCCCACTACTAACTTGGGATTTGATCTATAAGGAAGCATTGAGAAGATAGCTGTTGCAATCTTGATTCAACTGTGATCAGTTACTTAATTTTCATGGACCTTAATGGGACCCTGAGCTAAACCAATTTACAGTTGTTTAAACTACAAAGGTGTGAACAACTGAAGCCCAATCCTACAAGAGTCCTTGTGTAGCATACCCATGCTCCACAGCAACTAAAGAAAGCCATAGTGCCAAGATGCTGAAGGATATGCTGACATTAAATTATACCGGCAGTATAATTTACCACTGGAATCGATTCCTTTGATGCTAAACTTCTATCAGATCTGGTGAACTTGTATTTAGCAAGTGATATTTGCACTTGTATCCTAGCTGGTGTACTCATGTCTCAGAATACACACACTCACCTACATTTGAAGTTATTATAGCCACATAAGAACACCAGAATGTATTAACATGAGCCATTTCGGACAGGAGACCAAATAAGTATCCCAATCCAGGAACTGTTTTCATCAGCCAAAATCTGTAGCTGAATTCTCTGCAAGAACATAGAGGCTAATTTTCTGCTTTAGCAAAATCATTGGAACTCTAGCACACAAGAGTGAAGCCGGCATTTAAATGACATGCTAATGCCAGATGGGTGGAAGAGAGGCTTTGGTCTAGTAGAGATTTTAATTTTGTTTTTGTGCAAAAATAAAAATTGACTTTTAAAAAAAAACAGATTTAGCCACTACAAATCTCTTCCGGAAAGTTTCTGTTGTCAATGCAGTGCTTTTAAAAAATAGAATGTATTGGTAGATTCAACATTTAAAACACTGAAAACAGGATTCAACAGAAATATTCTCATTTACAAAGCTGAAAAGCAAACAAATTATCTTGCATTCTACCTCACTTTAAACTGAAGAGTTTGTAATAATATAGGAAATGCCATGTTTTCCACCCAAAACATGAGTGGAATATAATGCTTTAATATTTAATACTTTAAAAAAAAATGGACTAGGTATAAACAAAGGGTACATAACAAAATAATAGCTTTTAAACTAACTTTTGTTGACAAATAAAGCATTTCTGCTTGTCTTCTCTCTCATCTACCACCCAACCTATATACACAATACCCCTTTGTCATTAGGACTGACTAAGCACAAGGAATATTCAGTTACACAGGTATATCCTAAGGCATCTATCCAACAGTGCAACATTCTGAAAACCACCTGCTAATATAACCTCCCTAAACCTTTCATTTAAAGTGACCAATGTGTCTTTTCAGACAATGCAAAGAGGAAACAGAAAGTGAAGTTTTAACCAGAAACAGATCCCACAGTCTGGCATTTATCAAGGTGGGGGTATATGTAAATTGAGCCAGGTCATTTAAGAACAGCCAGTATATATGTAGAAGAAAATCCAACATTTCAAAATAAGACCAGCATGACCTGCTGAAACCAGGTTTTTGCTTCCAGCTACATACTGTAATTGGTGAAGTTCTTGAAGAACTGATACCTCATGAAGAACTGTTGCATCTAATTCTGAGTCCGTTACACTGTCAGAGTCTTGCATAGAGTTCATGGCTTCCTTGACCTGCCTCAGACCACAAAAGAAAATAATTGGGAAAACGTGAAAAAAGAAGGATGCAAAGTAATTAACATAGGTTTATCCTTTAGTCAAGATAATACTCTACTTCATTGTTCTCTTTCTTTTATACAAAGAGCACTATGTTTTCTGACTCATGCTTTCTCTGCGCACCTTATTTTATTTCCAACTTTATATTTCTTCCAAGGCTCTCGCCTTATTTCCAGCCTTCCATCAAAATATTTTCCTTATAATAGGACTGCAACAATTCCACATGTCTGTCTTCTTATCCTGGTAATGTCATGTTTGGAATAATCAATAGCATATTTGCTTTAAGTACTACTGCAAAGACTCCATCAGATAAACCTCTACAGGGACAAAATGCATATTGCTACCTATACCTCTTAGTTATTCAGAATTGCACAACAAAAAGGTAACTGAACTGAGATCTCAAGAAGGACTTCAGCATTAAGCAGCCTAAACATGGATTACTTTTATAGGTTTAAAAATTACATAGAATGAAAGGACATCCAAACAGCTAGGTGATTCTCTGAGGAGAACCAAACCAGGGCTCTTCTTAGGAGAGTGTCTTGTTTTCCATGCAGTTATTGAGAGACTACATATCCCAACACATCCTTTATTTATTAAAATCTTTCTCTCCCCTTCCCCTCCATCCACACAGATACAAGGCAGCCCACAAACACATGCATGACATGGACACTGCACCAAACATTTAACACAATATATAAAGAAACATAAACCCAACAGCTCAAATTGTCAACTTCAAAAAATAAACATTGCACAAAGTTTTCATCCTCTCTCCTTAAAAAGCCTTCACAAATAGAACTGCTTTACACTGCCTGCAAAAGCATGCCAAAATAAATGCTGTCCTAACTTCCTCTGGTAGATTATTCCAGAGGGGCTGTGCTGCAGCTGAAAATTTTGCAATTCAGCTTATTTTATCAACTTGGTTTTGAGCACAACAAAGAGAAAATTTCCTCCAAATAGCTTGCCAGAATAGTCAGTTCTAGTTAGCAGCAGATAATTTTGTTTTGGAAATGATCTCCTAGTAGCTAGAAATACTATCTAATCATGGATACCTTACTTTTAACTTTAACATCTGGTAAGACAATGTCACCTAGAAAAGTACTTGTATCTTTATCCTCTTGCCTGCTCTTTAAATAACCATGCCATTGTGTAAATGTGGGGTTACTGTCTTGTCTGCTCCACATCTGCCTTTATCACTTCGGTTATAAGCTATTAAAAAGGTTTAAGATAGATTCAGGTGGGTAGCCATGTTAGTCTGAAGCAATATAACAAAGTTTGAGTCCAGTGGCACCTTTAAGACCAACAAAGTTTAATTCTAGGTATAAGTTTTTGTGTGCATGCAAACTTCTTCAGATACACTGAAACAGTTTTCCTCAAGCCTTACATATAGGGAGAGAGAGGGTGCAGGGATTAGTTGCCAGGAAGGCCTAGAGTCTAATTCCCCCCACCACCACCTATATTTAAGGCTTGAGGAAAACTGTTCCAATGTATCTGAACAAGTGTGCATGCACAGGAAAACTTATACCCAGAATTAAACTTTGTTGGTCTTAAAGGTGTCACTGGACTCAAACTTTAGTTATCCTTGATAACCCTAATGCCAGTTTTCTGATTTCTATTTTGTATCAGTATTGAACATACTCAGTAAAAAATGTACTATTTGTAAAATCAAAAAGCTGCTTAATGCATGCCAGTTCCAGATTAGTTATCCAGTTAGTTTCCAGATATTTATAACTATTTAATGGTCAAAATACATTAGGGTAGCAAGAATTCAGGTGTTTAAGGGCAGAGTAAAAGTTGATCCTGACTAAAAGTCATGCCCGAGGTATACTCAACTGTAACAGTAATTTATCGATTTACCTGAGATGCTAACTGGCTTACAGCTGATGTCCTTCTCTGATTCTCATTCGTGTTGTAATTGGAAGCACCTTCGACACTTCTACGTATCAATATTTTCTGACTCATAGCATCAGCATCCTCTTCACTTGAGGGTTCCTCAGAAACACCAGAGTGTCTGTCAGTACTCTGAAAGAACAGGCTAGTCAGCATCAAATATATGGAATAGTTCACATACACATAGTATTTTTGCAGTGTTTTGCTTGTACTGATACAGAGCAACTTTCTATTTATTGGTTGTAATAACACAACAGATAGAAAAATAGTAAGTTGAAATTGCTCTGCAGTGTATATGATTTCCATAATTAAAGTTTTGGAAGATGATAATGTGCATCATTGTTCATACAAAGTCTGAACACTGACATCTGATAAAGTACAAAATCAAAGCCAAAATCTTACCTTTTTCTTCTCTGATCTTAACTCTATCCCATGATCCTTGGACCGCTGCAGACTATGTTCAGATTTGGAAATCCTGCGCCTCATGCCACTGCTGTGTTCCGTTTCGGTCCATTTATCGGCTACCCGTTGTCCTCTTTTTATCCTAAGGAAGGAGATTCCACACATATAACGTCTTCCTCATAGACACATTTTAAAATGAGAGGCAAGCAGAATCATTCTGAGTATACAACAACTGGCTTTTCTTTTTAAAAGAGAACTCTATTTTCTTTTTTTTAAGAACTTACAAAGAGCAAAGTTATAAATTCTGAAAGAAGGCAATGAAAATAATGGTGAACAGGAAAAAAATTCCTATGACTGTTTTAAAATCTACTAAAATATTGAAGGTTAAGAGATGAACAGTTAGAACACCTCCTTCACCTGACTATGGCTTGTTCTGAGATATTCAAGAAATAACATGTGTCAATTTCCTTCTATCAACACTTTATCCTTTTCCCCCAAGAAAATACAGGAAGAACACAATAGCACTCCTCTTCAGAAGCAATTATATATGACAATCATAAATTACTTCCACCCCATTTGATTGGACAGAGGGAGACTGAATCCAGCAGAAGTGGAACAAAGACTAAATGGACAATCTCTTTGCAAACCCACTCCACAAATTGCCCAACCTAACTAGTGCCCCCCTTTACCATAACAGTGACTGCACATTGGGCTACACAAGTGCTAGTATGAAGTAGTTGCATACAGTTTGGCAATCCATAGCTGAACCCTAACTAGCATTTCAATTACAATCCCTCAATATATCAGCATCACCAAACATACCCCTCCCTGTTCCTCCTGTGCAAGACTGTGTCAAAGAGGCTGCTAATCCTGGATCCCAACCCTGAAGGCTCTTCTCCTCTGCTGATATTGTCAATAGAAGTATAGGTACTGATCTCTCTGCTTCCATCACCTCCTGTAAATTTGCGCATTTTTCTACATTATAAAAAGTTAAATTTTAGCCATAAATCTGAGATCGGTAAGAAATACCCCCTCCCTCCAAAATAATGACAGATGATGAAGTTGAATAAAAACACATCCATGAAATCTGCAGCACATATATGCGTAGATCATCCACTGTGACCACAATGTGACTGTTGGCAGTACTAGGATCCAATCCATTTTTTTTTTTTTAAGCCTGGCACAGCAGCATGCGAATCCAAACTCTAGCTCTGTATTGCTGAATCTGGTAGTTCTGAGTGGGGTATTTCCCCCCTGTGCTTCTGAGAAATACTACCAAAGGGGCCATAACTTCTTTTAATTCCAAAAACTAAAACAGCTGCATGGTGCCCCCCCCCCGTCCCTGTAAACTGAACAAGGAATAGTTTTGATCTATATGCCTTGTACCCCCCACCATGCATACTACCCCCAATTGGTACAATCCAATAACTTCTTCCCATCCATCACTCATGGCTCCACCACATTATGGGCTGATATAAAGCCGGATATTCTAGAGCCCCTGCAATGCTTACTGTAACAGGCAAACGGTAAGGGCATGGTTAATACAAGATCACAGTTTCACCAGAAAAATAAGTGCCTTCTGGTAGAGTTTATGTCACCATTTTTGCCTGAACTCCCAGAATGTAATCAAAAGACAACAAACAGAAACAAACTCCCAAGCCCATCTCCGGCAGAAGTCCTAGTCAATTTGGAAGAAGAATTAGCCACATAACACAATTTATAGTATATTATATATACACACTTCACAGATTTAGAGACTATTAAATGTCATTGAAAACACAGGGAAAGACACACACACGAAAATTTATTGTCAGTTTTCTCACCTTCTTCTCTTGCTAGCACTGCTTCCATTGGTCCCTGAGGGTTTAGACAGCTGATGAGTAGATACTATTTGACAATGTACGGTTCCCATCAGTAGCATTAGGCACAAAGGTCCAATAATTTCACTTGCATTCATAACAGGCATCATGTAGTATAACACAATTGCTACAACTGAAAAGACAGTACATCAGACTTGACTACCAGGCAACCTTTTGTTTTAGTAGTGTGAAATATAACAAGTGTTTCTTTTTAGAGCTGAAAACAGAACTCATGCAAATAGGTATAAGAAGAGAGAGGGGAATGATATAATCAGTACAGCAGACTCGACTACCAGGCAACCTTTTGTTTTAGTAGTGTGAAATATAACAAGTGTTTCTTTTTAGAGCTGAAAACAGAACTCATGCAAATAGGTATAAGAAGAGAGAGGGGAATGATATAATCAGCTGCTGATTTCACAAGGCATTGAGGCCTGCACATGCAAGCAACCTGGCCCTGGTTCTCTCCCTTCTGGATTTACTAAGGGGAAAGACTGACAGGGGAGAGGGGGGCTGTCATAAATGGCATCACTGGTAGACTAAAACTAGGCTATCAACCTTCTCTCCCTTAGTTTTTTAATGTAATCTCCCATACCTCGGCTAGGAAAGTGAACAGAAAATAAACACAGACAGGCTTCTAAATACAGATGTGGAATGAGAGGCAAACAAAAATTGCATTGCATTACATAAAGCCAGAATGTGGTTGGTGCCAAATAGCCACAGCAATTACCATCTCAATCCAGCTCACAGTAAGTCACCATAAAAGCAGCCTCATAGGATTCACAAACGGGTTTCACCAAAGTGCACACGAAAGCAAAACAAGACACCAGGTACTGTTGCCTCTATAACCTACAGAATCTCTTCTCCCAACTCTTCTCTGAAGTGAACAAGTGGAAGTGTGAACATTCAAGGTGCCAGACAGGACATTTATAAAGAGCAAGGGCAGAGTGAATACAGTGAAACAGTACTTTCATGCCCCTCCTCCCACCTAGTTCTTGCAGATGGCATACCACACATCAGTCCGAAGCTTAAATCTTACTTTGTTCTTCCTTCAGCACTGCATTTTCTGAATGGTAGGGTGAAGGAGCACATTATTAATGAAAATGTTCAGTACTATATCTGGAAAGCCCTCTAGAATAGTTCAATAAACTTCTATGACAGCAAAAGGACAAAAAATAAAGTAGCTTTTCAACAGTACTGCCTTTTAAGTGTGAACAATAGTAACCTATGTATTTATCAGATAGTTACTGAAAGAACTGGGCCACTTGACACCACAGTGTATCAGAGGCACAAGGTCTGTTCAAAACATTTCTCATATAATCAAAGGGAACTGAATAGAGGCAATAACTTACCAATCATAAACACTATGGCCGAGTTCAGACTGGCAGTTTGGCCTGGCAGCCAAACATTTCAGGAGCGTTTCAGTAGCAGATTAAAGGGGCGGGTTCACACAGGCACATCTGTCAGGTGTCCCCCAGCCGTACTCAAGCCGTCTTGTGCCGCTTCCCTCCAGAGTTTAAAAAGTACCAGGTGAAAGTTGTAGCAAACCATGTGTAGAGCGGGTTGATTCCGGTTCCCTGACGTGTGAACACAAGCACTGCTAAGGCGGGAACAACCCGCAGTCGTTGATAATAGGAGCTGGCTGTTTCCACGGCAGGTGCCCATGTGCACAGGCGCATGCAGCGGAGCGCGGAAACAGCCACTAACAGCCCGCCAGAGGCGGACCGACAGTGCAAATGCTCCCTTGTGCTTCCTCCACGGTATCCTCCCACTTCATTCACTGCAGTGTGAAGGGGAATACCACAAACAAGCCGTTCCCAGTCTGTTCCGGGTCTTCTTTGCCACGACTCCCTAGCGCTTCAAATTGCCAGACTGAACTCGGCCAATGGTTCAGTAAGGGACAAGACATGAATATACTATGGATGACCACAATTAAAAACGAAGAATTTTTTTTTTATTATCTAGGTGTGTTATTTAATAGGCAACTGACTTGGAAACAGTACAATGATGCACTGAGATTAATAACTTCTAAACCTGTCCATATAGTTAAAAGACTTTTCACATGAAGGCCATTTCCCACACTTCATATAGAACCAAAGGATCTTATCATGAACTTCCACGGAAATGATTAAAAATATCAATTTAAGAATTCTTCTGGGTCTCCTTCCAGGCATGTCAACTGCAATGTTATAAGTTAAAATAGGACTTCCATTGTCATAGTTAGCATGTAAAGCTTTGTTTTCATGTTACACAATATCAGTGGAATCTCTGAATGAAGCTGAACCCAGGACAAAAAAAATAAGCTAATCAAAAACAGAATATTGGGAAATATTTCACCCACTTAAGAGTAAATATTCTAAAGATCTGTTTGATTAATACTGTGATTGCAATTATGGCAATACTGAATACAATCCCCCAAAATACACGTGACAGTGCCTTGTATCAGACCATTAACCTTAGCCCAGTACAGTCTTCCCTGACAAGCAGTGGGTCCCCAAGGTCCCAGGTAAGGGTGTCTCTTAGCATTGCTGCCTAGTGGCCTTTATATTGGAAATGCTGGAGACTAAATACAGGGTCTTTGACATGTGAAACATTTCCTCTAATATTGAGCTATGGACCCTTCTCATACCTCCTCTCTGATTATGATGAATGTATCATACGACAATCTTATTTGTTATGTAAGTATAAAAAGCAGCATGAAGTTTTCAATCATTAGTCTTTTGCCCTGCCAGTCATTAGTCTCTTGCACTGCCAGTTTCTGTTCTGCCTCATACTTCTGTGTAGTCTGATTTTGATTCAAATTCTATTTATAAGCTGCTATGCAAAGAGATTAGTTAGCAGTCAACATGTTACAGGTAAGACTGCATATAGATCTAAAATTTACAAACCAATTTCCCCCTAGCTGTTGTGATGGTTCTGGGTTGCTGGGTAACCACAGAAATGAAATGAAATAGAAACACTTCACTCAACTCAATTGGACCATGTCTACAAGGAGCCAGGAGTATTTGTAAAACTGCTGCTGAGCTCAAAGCAGGATGTGCTTGCTTATGTAAGGGGGTATGATAAGGAAGATGATCTCTCAGTCCAAATAGAATCATCCACAATGTTACAGAAGAACTGACTGAGCTATTTAAGTGCTACTGCAAGTCATATTTGCATATTGTTTTATGTGGAAATGTTATTGTACTACATTTATGCACTGTGTTTTATTGTATTTTAACTCGTTGTACGCCGCCTTGAGCCTGCCTGTGCAGGCAAGGCGGGATATAAATAGAAAATAACAAAGAAAGAAGACCCGCGAAACTCGCGGGGGGGGCGGGGAAGCTCCAAACTCAGCAGGCAGAGGAGGAACCAGCAGGAGCAGGTAAGCTCTCCCCCCATCCCGCCGGTTCCTCCATCTCCTCCACACCCCCGCTCGATCTCCCCCCACCCGCCTCCTCCCCCGCTCC